ATATATATATATATATATATAACTTTAGTCCTTTTTTCTTAACCTCTGGGATCACGTCACTCATGACTTAAAATATAATGAGCTCAGCCTTCTTGGAATAAGCACACTAAATCCCGACAGACTTAAACTGTGAAGCCTTCCTGTTAGGTTGCTTGAAACTAGCCCAGTTTCTGCTGATAAGGCAAATTCAATCAAATTAAAGTGGGATCTTTGATGCTTGTTTGCTTTGCAGGTCCCCCCGAGACCTTATGCTCAATTTGAAGGTACTTTGTTCATTTGTGAAAAAGGTTTAACACAGGAATAGCTGGGGGATGCATCCTGATTATATAATACTTCAAATAAATACAGCTAGACTCACCACAGATGAATTTACAAACAATCCTTTATATACGGAGTAATTCAGGTGTGACAACCAAAACTGTGGGGACTTTTGCTGGGGTGGGGTGTCACATGTTGGCTGAATATGTAGCCTGCCACCCACAAAAAGTTATGCTTTGCTGCAACTACCTCAGTTATTTTCAAACACTTAACAGTACTTGCGCTGACCATTGCTAGAAGAATTAAAGCTGCCGCGACATTCTGACAGCTTGCAGCAAAGAAAACCAGGACCACTAGGATTTCCAGCCCGTCTTCACCATCAGCAGCTCTGGTGGAGATGAGCTGCCACTCAGGCTATGCACCTCAACTGACCTGCGTCACCTGCTGGGGGTGCCATAAAAAGCATGGGATATAGTATAATCTCATTATTCTGGGCTAAAATGCTTTGCCTGGGAAGTCACTGTTTGGTTTTTTTTTTGTAGTGCCGCCTCTATTTAGTGCAGCCCTCAGGTCTGAAACAATAGGTGGCAGGATTTATTATATGCAATACTTCTTGCTAAGACTGGCCATGCAATTCAAAGGAAGTGCAATGAAGTCCAATATTGTTAGGTTGAATCTGTCATATTTGTTATAAGGTCCAGATATATTCACACATTTATAGGTATTAGTTGATTTGTTGCATGGACAGGATTCAAATATTTGATTGTATATACAACAAGCTTTTGCTTTATCCTTGATTGTGTGTATCTTTTACTTTTAATGCATTTTTCTCCTAATCTTTGGTGGGATTAATGAAATACCTAAATGGGTGTTTCTAAATAATACAAAGTGAGATCCGATTTTTTGAAGTGTTACATAGTCAGGATGCCAACCCTAGTTACGCCCATATTAATTTTGTTTTCCATTTAATTTGTAGTTTCAAACATTTTTCTATTACAGTTACAATTTGTGCTGGCCAAGAGAAGTGGTGTAGGTGTTCCTTTTCTTTTTTAGAAAGTTTTATTGGAGCTGTTCGAGGCATGCCTAACCGGTATAATGCTTTGGGTAGGGACTAGGAGAGATTGGAGGACTAATATTGCTTTGTTAAACTGGAAACCATTTTATTATGGCCTGGATAAAACCTAGAACCGATTGGAAGAATAATTTCTTAACATAACATAGAAAATGCTTTAAATTAGTAAACAAGCAAAGGGATTCCTGATTTGTAGTGTGCCTCTGAACACAAGAAAAATGGATTTAAAATAACGGCGATTGGTATTCTTTTTTTTGTATAGACATCCCATGTTCTGGTCCCTAGCATAAATTCCAACCTTTTATTAATTGGTTATTTATAACCAAACAACCTTTAAAACTCTAGATACTTAATCATCAGGACCTTCTACTACCAGAGGCATAATTTAGTGCTTTTCAGTCATGGTGCAAGCATCTACATTGCTATTTTGTTGCCTTGTAGGAAGGTGGGCAAACTAGAAAATACTCAAATCCCTATTGTGCCTTGGAGCACTAAGCTTTACTCTTTTTTTTCTGTTTGATTTTTGCTTTAACACAATTTTGCATGTACTGTCTGGAGTTACACCCACTAAGTCAGGATGAGATATATTTTTTTCCTCTTTGTAATCTTGTGTTGTGTTCAGTTCTGTACTCTTCCCATGCCACTATGTTACTGAACACTTTGATCATAGATCTTTATGGACACACTGTTCTGTGCATCTTAAATAATACAGATAAATGTATTTTGGAAACATTATGAATCTTTTGCTGTCTCTAAAGAAGAAGAAATTAAGGAGAAAAAAAAAACAGTTTATGGAAGGAGAGTTCTTTATGGAGAAGAATTCTGGTATTGTATGAGGAGCTGTATTTGCATCATCAAACTTGCAATTCAAAAGCACTAATCATGCCTACTTGGCTGTTTTCTAAAGGGCAGTGAGAAATATACTGAGGAAATTTATGGAAATATCTTGACAGTTTTGTTAAAATATA